GTTGCGGAAAGTCGTCCCCGGCAACAGAATACTCTGCGCCATACGGAGGTCATTTTCAAAAATGACGCCTGAGATCTTCAAGCTCCTGTTTTCTTCTCACGTCCGTCCAATATTGGAATATGGACTACCCGCTTTGCATCCTCTCACAAAATTTGAGTGCGCTTTACTCGAGAAGGTTCAGCGGCGTGGATCCAAGTCTGTATCAGTGCTGCGTGATTTGTCTTATCCCCTTCGACTTCAGCGAATGAACTTGTTCTCTTTGGACTATCGTCGTCGCCGTGGGGATCTGATATACAAACGCATCCCAAAAGAAGATTTGGGAATGGAGGTGCAAGAGTTCTCCCAACTCAATGTAGCTAATTCGACAAGGGGTCAAAGTTGGAAACCGTGTAAACCGCGGAGGTTTTGTGTTCGCTCCGACGTCACGTTATCTACCTGGGTCGTGAATCAATGGAACAACCTCACGGAATATGTTGTCAGTGTCCATTCATAGGAATGTTTCAAGCAGCGGTTATATAACTACATGCTGAGAACGCCTGAATTCCACTGTTTTTGATGCAGTTGTGCTGATACCTTGGTGAACACAGGTCAGCAAGGACACGCATCATCCAGCCAGTGAATGGGACGTGAAGGAGCTGACACGGGTCTTTTCGCTTCCGCTCCCTACAACACTACGACACATCATCATCATCAACAGCAGTACATCAGCCATTTGAACTGATGCTTCGCTGCCATACAACCATGAGGACCTATGAAATAAAGAATAAGAAGAGGGAGAGAAGGGGGACTTACCTGAAAACCTTAATGCCCTAAGCAAACATTCAGGGTCAAGGCACCTACACCTTGGGTAGACAACATACCGTCACAAACAGCTGGCTATCGTGCAAAGATAAGGCGGCATCGACGAGACAGCTTCCTTGCGCCTTTCACTGCCACGCGTCATAATCAGCCATTACCCCGCAGATAACTCAGCACCAAACATACTTTAAATAGGCAATCCAATAAGGAGACGGCAGCAGACGCGCCACTGGTGTCGGTTGCGAGCCATATCCTGCAAAGTCTCGAGCCAAGCACAAGGCGAGTCACGTGGACTCCAACCCGGAAGGCGAGACGGACCAACGGCACCCAGTTTGCTTGTAACTGACTTCATTTCCCGCTGCCAAGTCAACTTCTGTCCACCTCGAGCCTTGCGCCATCCTACACCTGGCAGACTGAACAAGGCCCTCCTAGGTATGCGGTGACCAGGCATGCGTAGCACGTGCCCGAGCCAACGCAACTTATTCAGTGCTATCTGTTGTTCTAGGGAGCTAGCATGATCATCACCACCTAGTACTCGCCTAAGCACATCATCGATGGGGATACGCCGGTGCCATCCGACACCAGCAATGCTGCGCAAACAACGATGATCAAAGACTTGAAGGCGCCTCAGATCTTCAGACCGAAGGGGCCAAGTTTCACTACCATAGAGCAGAACGATCTCACTGTGGCCTTGTATACTCGGCTTTTCAGACGGAGGGAAACTCCCTTCTGTCGCCAAAGATGACGCAGGTTCAAGAAGGCAGCTCTGGCCTTTACAATGCGTGAGCTCACGTCAGTTTCTATGCGCCCACCATTGCTGATGCAGCTGCCAAGATAAGTGAATTGATCAACCACCTCGAGTTCCTCGTTAGCAAGCGTCAAGGGGTCATCAAGTGGCTGGTGGTCCTGCAGCAACACTTTGCACTTTGAAGGTGCGAAGTGCATACCAAATAATGGGACCACTCTAGACAGGCTATTCAGGGTTGATTGTTCCACCGCAACATCGTCGAAAAGCAAGACGATATCGTCCGCATAATCTAGGTCAACTAACCTTTCACCAGGCAGTATTTCAACGCCTACATCGTGAGATTCCGCAAGGGAACACTCCACGATAGAATCCACGACGAAATTGAACTAAAACGGGGAAATCGGACAACCCTGACAAACGCCACTTGTAGTCGAAAAGCTATCCGATAGGACACCATAGACCCTGACGCGGCCTGTAGTGTTCGAGTATAGAGCAAGAAGGATGTTCACATATTTCGTGGGAACACCTTTTCGCGCAAGTAATTCGAACAGAATCGATCGATCGACCGAATCGAACGCACTCTTGAAATCGAGGAACACAGCTATTGTCGGTCTGCGGTATGCGTGGCGCTGCTCTAGCACCTGCCGCAAAGTGAATATATGGTCTATACAGCCACGTCCTGGGCGAAAACCGGCCTGCTCTGCCCTAATCCGAGATTCCCGTTCTGCAGTGAGGCGACGAACGATAATCGAGGCCAGTAATTTTGTCACAACTGGCGTTAGGCTAATACCCCAGTGGTTCGCACAGTCTGTGCGACTGCCCTTCTTGTATATTGCCACTATGATCGATTCGCTCCAATTAGCCGGCACACTCTTTGTTCCAGATACGTTCGAATAGGGAGGTCAGTGTCTTGCAGAGGACCTCACCTCCATCCTTAAATAGTGCAGGTGGGAGGGAATCCGGGCCAGCAGCACGAAAATGATTGAGGACTGTGATCGCGTTTCGGACCTCGGCCTCCGACGGAGGCTCTAAACTAACCGTCCATGGCTCGTCCTGCATCACCTGAGTAGGAAGAGATCCGGGAGAATGGGGTCAGCTGAACTGATCTTGAAAGCGTTCCGGCCAACTAGCCAACCGGCGCTCTTTATTGTGTATCAGTGCCCCCGCGCTGTCTATGATTGTCTCACTGATGCCTGGTTTCCTGGAACCAGTGGGGCGGACCAAATGGAAGAGCTTGCGGCAATTGCCTACTGCTCCTGCCTCCTCCATTTCTTGAGCGCGATTGGTCCACCAGGCTTCCTTGTCAGCACGTAGGCTCTGCTTTAGTTCACGTTTAATAGCCCGTCTGGTCACATTGTGTTCAGAGCCAGCCGGGAGGTGTCTTCTAGCTTCCAACAGGTTCGCGGACCTCTCGGATATCCAGTGACTGGTGCGGTGACGACTGATAGTGCCACAAGCAGATGCTCCTGCGTCGTGCATAGTGGCCGAGATCCTATTCCACTGAAGTTCAGTATCATTAGGACAAGACAGCGAGAGTTCGCTATGCAGTGCTTCTTGATAGGCTTGCCTGACAGAGGGCTGGGACAATTTCTCAGTTGCCAATCGGAGGAGACGCTTTGTGCGCCTTCCGGTAAAGTTCATGGAGAGACGACAGCGCATCAAGGAATGATCAGAGTCGACACAGGTACTCCAGTACGAGCACAATTCAGAACGGAACCGCACCACCTGTAACTTATGGCTATGTGGTCAATTTGGGTCCATCGCTGGCCAGCTACAGCTGGACGCCAAGTGGCACTTCGGCGCCCACTGTGTCTAAGAGCAGTGCTAGTAAGAAACAACTGGTGCTCCGCACACAGTTGCAGCAGACGCTCGCCGTTGTCAGTCCGTTCAGAGTTAAGTCCATAATTACCACCCAGCTGAGCTTCTGGAGAGCTCAGACGGCCTACTTGTGCGTTCATATCCCCTGCAAGTACTATAATATCTGAACTAGTAGCACTGCGTAGTAGGGCGTTCAGCTCGTGATAGAAAGTGTCCTTGACTGCGACACTAGGAAGCTATACACTACAGCTATGCCCTCCACAATAAGAAGTGTCCGTTGACGACATGACCAAACATGGAACAACAATGATATACGAAAATGGAGACATGCAGTGAAAAAACGATTGACAAAGATATGTAGGTATAAAACCTAAAAGATAGATATGGCAGAGGCAGGGATAAAAAGGAACAATGACGCGGAGAAACCGAAACCAATGATAAAACCACAACTACAGCAAACACCAAGAAAAATTTAATGGGACGAACTCACGTGGTTATTGAGTAGGACAAAAGACAATCAATCTGTAGCGCCCAAAAAGATAACTCTTATCTTACGTGTACAATTTACTTGTTGCTCGATTGTACATTACTCCTTCTTGTTTTAATCTTACAACCGGCTCGACACACAACTGCCTTGTAAGTTCCCGCGCTCACGTGTACGCTCTTGCCTCGCTTCATCCGTCCGTTTCTTGTTGTAGTCCCATCGAATACAGTCCGCTGTGTCCGACTCCAATTGCCTTCTGATATCCGCGCTTAATTCCGCGCACCGTCTCGGACTAGTATTAACTAGTCCTACAAATTGGTGACCCCGATTCGCACGCGCGAATTCAACATTTTTCTCGTTTAAATT